CGAAACAATCACAAGTAACGCGCGAGAGCGTACGATTCGCCCGGAATAGCACTGCGATAGCGTTTTGGCCTCTCGAAGTTCTTGACGGTTTGAAGACCACAGTGCCTTCACAAGGAACCTCAGTGCCCTTCGTGTGTTATAAGTTCCCTCAGCGGGGCCCTGTGCTTGCTGTCGTGGAAGATATCCCAGCTACCGGTTGCTGTTGTAACTCTCTTAGAGCCTTGAGGGTGCATAGCATATGAGGGTGCATATGAGGGAAACCCAGGGACGGAGTACAGTATGAGGGGCCAGATATTCGTTAGAATGTACCCCAGGAAGTTCACGATGTGGCGACGAGTGATGCTACGCGCGCGAAATCTGCGAATACCTGATTGGTTGAATGAGGAACTCTGGCAGTATCTCACGTCAATTAGCCAGGGAATACCAACAAGTGAACCGGTGCTGGGCAAACTTCATGAAATATACCCGCTCTTCTTCGCTTTATTAACTCTGACTTTTCGAAATATGTGATCTTGAAAGTTTCAGATTTAGCAAACCTAGCTAGTAATTGCCGAATTCACAGACGGAAGCTTCACTTTGCTGACCAAACTGAAGCTCACCTGGAAATCGTCACCGACGTGTGGTTTCTTGGTGCTGATTGGTTTCCTAGTATGAGGCTCTTTTGTTGGAGCAGGACGAGGACCGGACATTGAAGGGTAGCACTGGTCAATCTAAATTCCCAAGTTGACAAAGTGTTTTCAGATTGATTTTGTGAAAAAGTTGGATTCGAAAAACGAAGAGCATATTACTATGCAACTTAACTAAAGACGTATTTGTTATTGGTCAAAAAAGTAGAAATGGAAAATTCTGCTCAGCTAAAAGCGGAAAAGTTAGACACATATCTTGCGGTAATCAGATGGTCAGGCTAGTGGGCGGGACTCACAACCACTTCGTCATTGGGGCGCATCTCGTATCAAAGCAAAGAGCCCACCAGTGATGAAGGCGAAATGGTCGAGAATCTCCGCCCATCTATTTACTGCGGAGTGGTTGGAAAACATGGGAAGGCAGTAGTGATCCTTCCAGAGACTACGACAGTAGGTCTATCAGATGGAAAGAAGATTCCAATCATGTTAAACAGTCTCGAATAAATACTGAAACGTACCACCAGGACATCATTCTGCTTGAGAGTGTTGAGCGAAAATCGTTACCGGTTGGTTATTGATAGTCATAGAGCACTGAAAGGGAGAAAGACATACAAAAAGAAGAAAGAGGAGCTCATATTCATACGCAAGAGAATGGATTGCTCAAACCTGAATAAAGCCCTACATGAGGAGTGGAAACGAGAAAAAGACATGATTTAGACGAAAGTGTAGGTTAAAACTAGCTGCTTCATATAAATGCTGTGGCATAGGATGGGGAATTCAAGTTTCCCTGTGCGACGCGCATGCGACCAGGCTACTGCTTATGGTGAGTTTTAAATTTCACTTTTGAGTTTCCTAGCAGGAACACTGAGCGAAATGCCCACTTGCCATCGGGTCTAATTAATCCTTGACCCCAGTGACATTAGAGTTAGCACCTCGTATAATTCTGTGGTACCTGTCCTCCATTAAGTGCACAAATCGTGTAGACAGCCATTTCAAACTCAGGTGAGGTGTTGAGCAACATGGAAGTTTGCATAGCCCTCCAGTTATTCCACTCGAATTGCAATGACACTTGAACACCCTGAAAGTAGTCAGTCGGATAAACGGATTCGAAGAGGACTAGAACAAATTTCTGTGCTGAAAGTTCGTGTTAAGGAAGGGGGGATGCGTGTAGAAAAGCGCATTCAGCAGGCGAGGGAGGAGAGGGCGGGAAATCGCCGGTAAGCGTTTTATTTCCTGTGCTGCTTGAATTACATCAGTGGTAATATTAAACCCAGTATGACCGAATTTCGCGATAAGCGGTTGGGGAAATGGGCGTAGATTTGTAGTCTTGCTTTCCTCACTGGTGTACTTACCCTGACACGGTGTGCGCCCCCCCCCCCTCCTCTCTGGCACGACAAGAGACGCGTCAATGAAGAAGACGTAAGTCTCGTGGTCCCCGCCCATTTGGTGGTAGGGGAGTGTGCCTTTAAGACGACCGCTCACCATGGACTGGTCCTCGCTAGTGTCATGTGAGCTCTTTCACAATGCTTGCTTATGTGGGGGAAAACCACCCCATAAGCAAGCAGAACCTTTCCAAAGGACAAATAGGGACACCGAACAAAGGTTTAGTGGCTTTTGAGTGGGAATGGGCACCACCCCGTCAGTGCTTCCCCTTCCCCGGCTACTCGCACATTCGCAGAAGCCACAGTTGTTTTCAACAGAGGTTCCCATTAGTCTTGGTTTTCAAATTGAATTTCACACGAATCATTCAATCACTTTGATTTCCAAAACAGAAGTGAGAAATAACGAAACAAAAAAAAACATAGCTCACGGGTTGTTTGGTAAACCATCCATGGTAGTTTAGCTGGTTGGAAGCTTCTAGCTCATAGAAACGGAACCAGTTATTGAAACGAATCACGTCTTTCGCCTTTAATCTTCTCCAGAGAAAACTGATTCAAATCCTAAAAGTATTCGGAGTAAAATGTAAGAGAGCTTAGGGTTGATCTTGACGAAGCTCAACTATTAGAACAGCTATCGATATCAATACAGAAGGAATAATTCGAGCTCAAGGAAAACAAGCAATTAATGAATGCATCCTTCCTAAAAAGTAGCCTTGTTCGCTGAAGATCAAGAGGCGTGTCAGCAAGGCTGGGTTTGGCGCTCTGCCAGCCCATTCTCCACAAGTGTTGAAGTGGGTTAGCCACAACAACTGGTGGAAAACGACTTATACGAGCGATATGATGCAGTCTTGTCGCCGAAAATACGAAATGGCGGCGCCGCGCCATGCGCCTAGGGGTACCCCTGCCCCTTGACACGCCCCGTCATCGTGCCAGCGAACAAGAGTATATGTTTTCACGGTCAAAATCGATTGAATCACTATGAATCCCATTCAAATGGGGGAGTCGCAGCAAGAAAAGTTTTAGACGCCTATTATGCATTTTTCACTGAGAATAAACGTACATTGAGAATTGGATGTCTATTGAGTGGGTCGCGCACCGTCATATCACCAATGCCGTCAATTACCCTTGCACTCGGGTCGCACACTCATATCAACTCGTAGAATCGCGTCGAGTTGCTGAGGGCAGCGTCAGTCGGTATAGTTGTACGATACTGCGCGTCAAGGCGCGTCATCAAGCCTGAACGCTGCCCAGACATTGCAACTGGACGTACCTGAGCTACCAAGTGCACCGTATCTTGCGTATTGAGTAAACCAAAGTGAGCTGAGCAGAATTTTGAAGCGATTCATTATCGTCGCGGCAACTGAGACTTTGGGCAGGTATTGCAACAGTACAATCACAACCTCTATAGGCATCCCTCGCCTTGCTTTGTAAGGAACTCCTGAGCTTTTCGCATAACTGCCGTGTTCATGACCGTGTCAAGATACGCGTCAATCGCGGACTGCCAGTCGCTCGTGACCACTTCCGGCATGTCCGCGTCGGGTTGATTGTAGAACGACTGGAAAGGGAATTACGGGATTACGGAAGGAAGAAGTGAAGATTGTAAAAATATTGGTCTTAGACAGTATCTCATTCAAACACTTAGCCGACACTGTAAAACCCAAATCACTTGCAACGAATCCCTAGTCTACCACGCCCCTTCAAAACCACGCACCGATAATTTGACCACATACAATGGCAAACATTTTGGACGCATAGGTGAAAGATTTATATTTACAATTAGATGACTTGAAGCTTATATGCTGGCTCATGGTTGAATCATCATCGACGAAGTTATGAAACTCTCTTTGAGCGTTTCGCGAGTAAATCTTGCGCGGGAATGCATGTTGCTAAAAATATTGTACCAACATTATAATATGCAGCTAACCCAACATGAAATAATCATGACGGTTGTTTGTTGGTTTTGTCTTTAGTAAATGATCGCTGCTATTGTCTTAACATGAAACAGGCGGATATTCTTGGAACCAACTGCATGACAAATGGCATCTCTTGACCATCTGTTCCACAACGATCAGGCAATCGAGGAATAAGTGGGTGGAGACCCATAAACACTGAGCCTTTTTCTGTAGAGCATTCTTGCTCTTCACTGAGGCAGAAGTCGATGAGCATTGATAAAGACACTGTGCCTTATGAGTCTCGCCCACTCGTTATCACCAGGAATAAGTATTCGCAGTTAAAGAATCGTGCATGGATCTATGCCTTGCCTCCCTTACATTTACGATCCCTATGTATGCCTTGTGAGAGCCCGAAAAGCTCACCAGCCGCCACCATAAATCGCTTAAGTTGGGCTGACCGTGAGTGCCCACCGCGCCGATTCTGTGCAGGGACAGGAATAACCAGTTGATCATAGAAAGATAGCAGCGAGATTAGCGCGCCCACATAAAGGCTGTATTAGCCATTCTGAGCTCGTAATTGATTTGTAATTAATTTGTTATCACAGTGACGAGGCAGCAAAATGATCTACTCAAATATCAGCTGTTAAGCAGTACCTGGTAGTTAACCTTCGCGTGTGCACGACCGGCATCGACCGAAACCAAGGCATTCAGAACGTCTGTCACCTCTTGGTTCGGATAGCACGCCTGAAGTGAATTCGTGGAATTTCTTGCTTTCTACTGCACTAACTATTTAAACAGCTCATCATAAAGTTGCACCAATTTGGAGGAAAACCATTGGGGTGTAAAAGTAGGCGAAAAGAGGGAAGGAATATCACCCCGATGAACAATAGTCCTAAGTTGACAGTTCTGCGATGCGCGGGATGTCATAACTTTTGCGCTTTCCTTACTGCCTTACACTTCTCTGCTACTGGAAAAGAAGGAACGGTAACAATCAACAATCAGAAAATTCGCGTTTGAGACCAGGCTTACCACTCCCTAATTTGTATCGCCCAACGATGATGTGCAAGTGCCAACCCTGTAGCTTAAGTACAGTTTATAGCAGCTTACCCGGAAGTTCAAGAATCTCGCGTGTAACGACCTTTCGCACTGAAGTAGGTGAAGGATATGGTAAAATTCAAAATAGTACAGCGTACCTTGGTAAGAGCCAGCAATCAGTGCTAGATATATAATCTGGATCATCATCGGTTATCTGTAAATGAAATAAAATGTATGAAATAGTGGAGATACTAAACAGCAAGTAACAACTAAAAGAATTAGCCACGTTGCACGACGATTTATTGGAATGCAGACCTTGTTATTGGTGTCACTGTGCCAGTTAAGTAATGCTGGGAGAATTACTGCTTCAAAAAAGTTAATATTGATAAGAAGCCATGCCCCTTCTTACCATGAATACTTCCTCATAGATGGTCACGTGGACAGATTTATTATTATCGAAATTTCTCCTTTAAAGCAGATTTGGAACCGTTGACAGTACTGTACAGATAGTTGAATGATGGATCGCTCTTTGTAGGCACTGTCAACCTGGAACAATTCATTATTTGCTTTGCTTGATTTTTGAATTTACAGTGTGATGGCGCTGCGAAAACACACAGTGAACAATGAAGCGATTACCCAGGAACTCTTATTTCCGCTTTCCCACCATACAGGAGTCTTAAGAACACGAGATCCGCTCGGAACCGCTTAAATGCCTTTCATCTTCTTCATCCCCAAATTTTTGTACGTTCTCCAGCCCAGCGTATTCCGACAGGTCGCTCATTTGACTTTTGTCGCGGTGGTGTCATGCATAGACTACCACGAAATTCAAGTTTTAGTACCTCGAAATGTCGAATTTGAGGAGGAACAGGGGTCGAGCCAAACTGGCACCGCCATCAAATCAGGTGACTCAGTGGCAAGGATGGACGCCAGCGGGTGGTCGGTCCTCTTCAGCACTCCTACATACAAATCTATATCTAGTTGGGTGAGGAAAGCGATAGCACAGAATTGGCACAGGCACCAACCTGGCGCCAAGTGGCTCCGGCGTAGAAAATGAAAGTTATTCAAGTGCTGAGGATGCTATCTTACCCCACACGAACGAGTGGTGCATCAGCTGGCATTCACGCCAAAATGATTGTATTTTTTTATTATGAAGGCAAAATAGGCAAAAATTAGTCAAAATGTGCACCTCCTGTGGGCGAAATTTCACTAGTTCTTCTTCCGAGACTTGCAGTGGTTGGTGCCGTGTTGTTCAAAAGCGGAGTACCAACCTATGGAGGACTCAGCGTAAGGACCTTTCCCGTTTTGTCCTCCTTTTACAAAAAAAAGCACTAGTCCATAGTCCATATTTCGGCTTCTTTTGCCTTCAGATGTGAGTTGTATCGGCAAAATGTAACTCATGGCGAACTAAAATGTTTCCGACAGTCTGGCAAATCCCCAAATTCAAAAGTAATGATAATATTGAAAATTACATATTAGATTCCTTCCGGATCACACGGTTTCATTCTGCTTAACGAGCCCAGACTCCCAGATCGATCCTCATAGCCTTTCTGGATACCGATCTCCCGTGTCACCACTAGATATTGGTGGTTGTTATGACGACCCTTCCTTCCTCCAGTTTCTTTGTCCGGTAACGTCCCTTTCATAACCTACCAATTAAGTCCCCCAAATTTCTCCAATTTTGCTCTGGAGTGAGGGTGGAATGTCGAAAACTCCTATCAATTACCAGAATTAGTATGTGGATGATGGGGCATTTCAGTAAGACTGATTTAGCGCACCGCCAACTCTTTTTTTCACCAACTGAAGAAGCGATTAGGCGAAAACAATTGGTGAAAAACCACTGATTTAAACGATTATCACTATCGCTTGCTGAAATACAAAAAAAACGGTGTGGCTCTGCGCCAAACCCATCTCCACTTGACACGCCCCATCATCCGCACCGAACAGGACCGTAGGTATGGCCTATGTGAGAGGGAAAAAAAATCAACATTCTGAGAAAATTCCTTTCGAGGCCTGACACAGTGCAGATCCTCAGCGACCGAATACGATCCCGCTGACGGGAAGGACCTGAATATTCCCTTTTAGTAGCATAATGAATGGTACTGACCGTATCCCACTTGTCCAAAGTCCGTGTCTTTAAGGCTAACGTTTTGGCCGTGATACCACGAAATCAAAGACAAGAGTGATTACCTGGGTAGCGCGGATTATAAATGCCAATATCAAGTGACATGCTGATTGGCCAAAATTAGATGTTGTTCTCGGTTGGTTGCGAGATAGTTCGAATCCTTCCACATACAATAGGAATTCGCTTATCATGGAAGAGGCTGCAGATATGGCTAGCTGCTAATCTGACTGTAGCGGTTTAACACTTCTTCCTTTCGTTAAGAATATCACGCCACAAGACGATTCCGATATAGCAAGAATTCGACGATTAAAGGCGAATTAAATCTGCTTATAAATGCTGGCTCCGAAGCTTTGATAACTTTGCAGTCACAAATTTTCTTTCAACGCAAGCTCGGCGGAGATAAATATTTCTATCCATGTTTCGAACAGCGAAAATGACAACTTGGAATATCTATGACAACTTGGAATATCTTCAAAGGCACAATCCACCTTTATTGCGTGGGCGCGGTGCACCTGATTCTGTTCTCATTGGTGAGCCGTTTCCTCTTTCCATAAGATGAAAACGAGAAGATGTGAAGGTATGTTGAAGGCTATTCACACGATAAGCATGCACCCTGCTCTTTACAGCCTCATTTTCTGCAAATATAATTTTTTTTCACGTACGAAGACTTTTGAGTTGGTTCAATGCTGCGCTTTGACATCAAAACAATTGTGTTAAACGTCCTCTGCAGTCTATTTGACGGTTTCATCTCTGACTATCGGTCAAGCTTAATAATTTGGAACGAAAGTAAGCAGATTATTGACTGCTGATTTGTTCAATATGAAGTCGCAAAGTGAATGGTGAAGGGCCTGGACTGCTATGATGCAACCGATTTGACGCAAATACAGGGGGGGGGGCAAAAAAAGTCACTTCGACCGAGTCACATATCAGCAAAGTTTTCGCAGCCCAGAGAGAAGACGTGGATACGAGTACCAGGGCGGAAGATACCCAAGATGTTCCTCGATAAGCAGGAGCTGGCTCTCGCCCATCACCTTCATGTACACCAAAATATGAAGTCATCTCCAGTCGCAGCCTGACTGGAGAAGACCTTTGGAATTCATGTCACCTCCAAACAGCTGCGAAACTTCTAGTGTGGAGTCACCCATGGGTAGCTACCTGGAGACCAGTACTCTCAATCTGGAAGACCTCCAACATCGAGCAGCTCCGACAACGTCGCTACGGTCTAGGACATCATCTTCACGGCAGTCGCCAAGGCGCGGGTTGATGGTATGGACCGGACGCACCTGGAATGGAAAGACCAATATTTTCTTCGTGGACCCCGGGCTGAAGGTGAGCGCTGGCGGTTACATCGACCAACTCAAGAAGAATATCTTCCCACATGTCGTCTTCTTGGAAACTTTGTACTGCTACAGCATTGGGTGCCACCACATGGAATCGAAGGGCGTTGGAGAAACTCTCGCCTACTTGGAATGGAAGGGGGCTGAGTACCTAAAGAAGATGGAATATCCAAGTAGGTCACCTGACCTGAATCCCCTCAATTACCCGGTTCGGGCGGAGTTCAATAGGGTGGTCTACGGTGGCGGAGAAATCGACTATCTCGCTGATCTCAGGGACCACATCGCGGTTGCGTGCCAGAATCTCTCGATGGCGCTCCTCCAGAAGGCTGTGGCGGAGTGTCATAGTAGTATTTGATATGCTCTTTAATATGGTGGTAGAAATGTCCGATCAGAATTTATAAAGTGTAACTTATAGCGCCTCGAAAGTCAATGAAGCAAAGTGACTTTTTTGGCCCCCTGTATATTGTCACTTCAGACGTCGAGACAACTAGCGGGTAAGGACAATAGCGATTATTCAGTAGGGCGCAAATGGCTCACAGAAGCAATGCGGCTGCGGACTTACACCGTATTCGACGCGCTTTACCTCAAAGCGCCAGTTTCCGTTCATAATCAAGTAGGAAGCGACGTGAAGGAACGGCTTATTGAAGTACATGAAGTTAGCCTTCAACCAGGAAAAGACCCGTATAACTGGAGTTTTCAATAATTATACAGATCTGATAGTCAACATGGTGAACGGAAGGATTAATAAATACTAAATTGTACAAAAACAGATGACTCTAGCTTTGAGGTAGTCAGATTTTTGCATAGTAGTACAAACATTTCCCTTATTAATAAATTTCTATATCTGTTCGATCATTGATATTCGAAAGCAAAATAACGGATATTGTCACAACACCTTTGGGAAAAGTTTACAAAGGAGACTTTATTATAATTAACGCAGTTAAATGTTCTTACAAAAACAAATCTATATTTCACAAGTGCTGAAAGTAAGTAAACTGGCTTAATGTATTCTCACTGGTAATGCTAGTTGAGATTAACTCTCGTTTGATAACTTCATTCCTGTATACATATAATAGTCCTTCAGATGGCTGTAGCCTTCCAAGTATAATCTTTCATAATGCACGCTCGTGTTTGTAACACGCTCTGCTTATTATCCTTCATTCAGTCCGTTGTCCTGTTCCTTTCAACCCATTCCTTATATTGCATAAGTTTTGCATGAGCGTCTTAGTTACTACTTCTCTTATTTCATCTTTTTCGTCAACTCCTTCCCGTATAAGTCATTGTCCTTTTGTCGTCAACCCAAGAGCTTCGGGTTGTCGAAACAACAGTTAGGTAGTTCGTCTGATAAACAAGCGAAATGGATCATGTGTTTTGGAGCGTTTTCTCCAACCAAATATTTGTTTTTCTTTGCTTTTAATTGAATGGTTTTCGCCAGGTCATTCTTAGTGTTTGAGTTTCATTTGATGATTTTGAATGCTAAAATACTTTGGAAAGGTGAAGTTGGTTCATTTACTTGTCAGGTTTCATTCCTCATATTATTCATTTACCGAACGCATTGTGTTAACGGAAGACGAGCCAAATTTATTTCATACCGGCTCCTATCATGTGAGAAGAACCAAGACAAGGAGCCCTCATAACAAAAGACTAATACACGTTAGGCGTCCATGAACAAGGATAGTTTGAGGATTCTACGTTAGCTAGTAAAACACCGGATCACAAACTGAAACCTGACGATTAAATGGACCAACTTCACCTTTTCAGAGTATTTTTGCATTAAAAATCATCAAAAGGAACTTATACACTAAAGATGACCCAAAGGAGAGTCATACAAGACTGCCTTCTTGAGGTAAAGCGCGTCGAAAATGGTGTAAGTCCGCAGCCGCACTACGTATTGCTTCTGTGAGCCATTTGCGCCCTACTGAAAAATCGTTATTGTGCGGGTAAGGCTGGTTTGCTGTGACTCAAACTTATTGGAACAACCCCCTACTACAGTCATCCTGTTTGTCTCGAATGACAGCTTAATTTTAGTTGTTTCATATAAAAGCATTTCTGCAGTCTTTTACTATACAAACATTAAAAATCGTAACATAAGCAGGGCAAATGCCGAACAATATGAACTTACACAGTCCCTAAGAAGGAAAGAGTAGTACAAACTCGCTTGACAGTATTTTACGTTGAGATCACGTTACAGCAGTATTAAAGCCCAAATATAACAGTATCGATGAACGATGGTCATGGGGTTGCCCTCCGAGAATGGAAGTCAATAGATTTCATTATGGATCCTTGTAAAGGTATTGAGTGTACCACTTGCACAGTGAAGGGCTTCGAGCAGAAGACAATAGCAATCACCCTCTTGAAGTACCTGAAATTGAAAATACTTGAGAATTTCGGTCATGGCCGGAGGGGTTTGGTTGGATTCGAACCGGTGCTAGGGCTGGCCGGGCTTAGGACTGGCCAAATCGTAGGGTAGTTTCCACTTCACGTGAAATCAACTAGGAGCAGCACTTACATGTCCTACAGTCAGACACACCCAACATCATGTTATGTCATCTTAGTGAGAGGGCGCAGACGAGCAGGAGTATAACGCGGACCAATGGCGTGTGCATGGCGCTTAGCAAGGCCCTATGGCGTATCGGTTTGCAGGCTGGGCAATCCTTACATCATACAGTCAGGGGCCTCTAGCTTCCATGTCGCGTACCAAGTGTCAAGAGTAGTACAATCGCACAGTTGTAGGCCTACCTACCATTTACGCAGAAGGACCTAGTTTCCGAGTCGGACAGTCTTCCTACACAATTTCTTAGTAATTGTTATTTTTATTTCAGGGAAGTTTCAATGGAAGCGAGGGGGAACGTGCTGTTAGATGGATAGAAAGCAATTCTGAAACTATTCCAACGGTCATTAACGACCAGGCGCTCACCTAACAACCTGATTCCGATAACTACGTACAATATATACTAGTATGAATGGATCAACGGCTGGACATGCTGCTAGCAACATGGCGACTATGTTGGCATGACATCCTAAATTTCTGTCCGTAATCAGATAAATACATAAACAAATGATAAAAACATTGAAAAAAATAATAATAGAAAAATAAGAGCCAAAATATGAGCAAAAACGATATAATACATTACCTATTCGAATCTCAAGCAAAGAAAATACGATGACAGCCATTGCCGGGAGAAATACGAACAGTATCGGTAGTAATGTCTGAATTATTACAATTCTAAGACGAGTTCAGCTGTTTAAAGGCTCATATCAACTTAAATCATTGCAAGCAAACTCATCAAAAGGTAAATAAATTCACCAGGAAACTGATACCTGTAATATCAATGCGTTCATAAACTGGAAATCAATACGTCTCACTCTTTGAAGTTTTTTTATTCGTTCCAATTCGATGAAGGTTCCTTGTGGAAAAAAAAATGATGAATTTGTGAAGTTTTGTTGAGAAAAGCGTTGCACTCAGTTTGAAGACACATGGTACGCTCAAACACATTGAGGGCCCCCACCTGTCGATGTGTTGTGTCCCCCGCCCAAAAGCTGCACGGGTCAGAGTACGGGGCCGTGGGAAAGTCGTAATTCCTTGCTACGCCGCCCGTTTGCAAACTCACGTTTTTACTAACACCGTCCGCGCGGCGCGGTCGCGTGCAGCTCTCTTGGCTTTTTGCCAAGTCCTGTAATTGCGCTTTGGAATACAAGTACAACGCAATTTCTTTATGCGGATAACATTTTAGGTGCTGCAAAATAAGAACCGAAGATGATGACGAGGGCTAGAACTCAAGAGCAACTGTGCTGCTTCTGCAATATCCCTCAGAGGCCGCGCATTTCCACGAAACATGAAAATAAAAACGGCCTAAGCGTCCCACTCGTTAGTTCAAGTATTTCTATAGCTTTAGAGCCGGATTCGAGCCGGATCGCAGAGCACACGCGATTTTAATTTATTGCGTTTCCTTAGTTTTTTCAATTTTGTTTTATTTACATCTACATTCGTTGTTCTTCATTTCTAGCCTTTGTCATCTTCATCACCTTCTATTCGGACTTTGAATGAGCAATACCTCAAATGTTAGGAAATTGCGTTTTGCTTGTATTGTCATGTTTTATTGTCATGTTGTCCGTTTTTATTGTCATGTTCTGTGGGAATGCGCGGCCTCTGAGGGATATTGCAGAAGCACCACAGTTGCTCTTGAGTTCTAGCCCTCGTCATCATCTTCGGTTCTTATTTTGCAGCACCTAAAATGTTATCCGCATAAAGAAATTGCGTTACTTGTATTCCAAAGCGCAATTACAGGACTTGGCAAAAAGCCAAGAGAGCTGCACGCGACCGCGCCGCGCGGACGGTGTTAGTAAAAACGTGAGTTTGCGAAACGGGCGGTGTAGCAAGGAATTACGACTTTCCCACGGCCCCGTACTCTGACCCCGTGCAGTTTTGGGCGGGGGGACCACGACACATCGACAGCTGGGGGGCTGATAGTCTCATACACCCTCAATGTGTTTGAGCGTACCATGTGTCTTTAAGGGTCTCCATGATTCTAATGCCAAAGGTTTGGGTCAGGAGTCAGTGCAACTTTCAAAAAGTACCCATATGTCTCAATAACAACACTTGCTGATGTGAACTGAGAAATCAAACCCATCAGTAGCCAATGCACATTCTGGAGTTTCTGCTTCAATGGAACTTGCCTTTGCCTTTTCGTGTGGCCTTTTTGCAGCAGTGCAAGATGACTCCATAACCTCGGAGATGTGGAGGGAGTGGCTGTGTACTTCAACTGTGCGTCCTTCAAACCTTATTCTGATGAAAATTACAAAAAGGCAGTGTACCAGTTATAGAGGTGATGACAGCATGACAGCTGGTGCACTCCACATCCCAGAAGTTTTGAGGGCGTCGCTTGGAACTTCTTGTAAACATGGCGTAAGGTGCGGTTTTGGTGGGATCACCACTGGTAGAGCAAAGCAACTGGACGCGAGCTCGTGCCGCGCTGCGCTCGCCGCCCCCGACAAACTGCAATGTTAGATGCTATATTTGGGGGAACGGTCATCTGGTTTTCTACTGGGCGAGACACAGAAGAGAAGGGAGAACAGACATTCCACTTTTACCGAAAACGGCAATGTATCCCACAAAGAATGCAGCCGCGAGAAAAAAAAGCAATCTGCAGTTTTGTGACCCATATCTGAGGCTAGCAAGAGGGTTGGCTGTGAGCTTCCGAATGAATCAGAGGCAGACACGTATAATTGAAGGCAGGGGACACGATTGGTGGGGCGTGCGATTTTTGTCAGCGTCACTGGTGGAACAGATGCGACAGGACTTCCGGCCACCACTCAGCCCTTCCAAAATGGCACTGACAACCGCCCTCCCCAGCGATCTGGCTTCAAGCGAGGAGACACACCAGCGAGAAGCATTGATCTATCGCACAAGCGACGTCGCTGCAAAATCTGAATATTGCTACCCTTTTCTATCGTTTTCTTTGTCGAATCCACTCTTTTCACATAGAATATGCTTGAAGACACGCATCTGCGCACTGATACAATAGGTTCCGCTCCTTGGCCACGCCCAGCCATCCTCATAAGAGCGCGTTCAGACTTCGCGATCGCGCGATTGGGATGGGTGAAATTCAAACAGAACGGTAACTTCAGTAGGCGAACAAACAATTTTCGATCAAATAAGGATTTGTTTAGTTACAGAGACTGTATCGGAATGGGAAACAGAATGCCTAGAGTCGTTCAGGTTTCACCTACGACTTTATTCTTGAAGCTGTGGAATAGGGCTGACTATGGATCTCGTACTCGTACTATATTTTGTTCAAAAAAATTATGCTTGTCATCATTCCTCGTATCGCACGAAACCAAAGGAAGCAAACAGGACAGTGGTAAACACACGACAAGGAGGCTATACTGTCATCAGAACCATATATAAGGAAGTGGATAATAATCACGGAATGAATGCGTGACCTGTGAAGGAGAAAACATGCACAACTATTTTGTTCTACCAATTAATCAGTTTTCGGGGAAGTCTCGTGACATTTTCATCTGGGAAATGCTTCAACAAAATGCCTCAGTAATGTCTAAAGACTCCACTGCAATGTCATGAGAAATACTGACCCAAGCGCGGACTATTTTTGATGAGTGCCATTGGAACCCGATTAAACAAGTGCATTCATAAAAAGAAAAATGGGCACTATTGAACTATTCCCCAGTCTGCCGAAATGAAGCCGGTTGCGAAATTCCGAATCTGAAAAAAAGATCGAAAGGCAACTTCAAACGTTTCTAAAAACTCAAGGCGTTATGCACAGAAAGGAAAGGAAGAAGGAAAAGAAAAGAAAGAACAGAAACATTAAACATGAACGTCGCCCCGCTGAATTTCACCCATCCCAATAGCGCGAATGGGATCGTGCGATCGCGAAGTCTGAACGCGCTCTAACACAAACCGGGCAAATTGGGGTTGGATGACATTGGAATGTGACTGCAACAGCAGCGCATCGGCGCGTGCGGTAACGAGTGGCTAAGTCTGAACGCAGCTCTGACGGAGAAGCACACCCTTTACCAGTACCTCGATAACTTTAAAGAGCTATGAAAAATAAAAATCTAAATCAACGCTAAAATTCACTTATTCCACAAAAAAGCATCACTGCGAATGTCGCCATGATGACAATTGAGACGCTTATCAAGCCGAACACATCAGATGTTTGTATCTCGGCTTTTGATGAAACATTTGCCTGCAAGACAAAAGAATAGTTAAGAAGAGTCTAAGGTTACTCCATACTTACCACAATAAGAGCTGCAATGTACGGTAAGTTCCGAACGCTGACGCCATAGTCCTTCTCAATTTCAGCGTTAAACACTGAATTCTTCAGCTCAGATGGCTTAAAATTCAACAAGCAGGTCAGACCATAATGAAGTGCCACAAATAGGTAGAGTAATATAAGTATTGTAAGACTCCATGCGGAGCTCATCCTTTCAAGAACATTGCGCCTGTAAAAAGCAGGTTCGAAAGAGCATAAGACCTCTGAG